AAAATTTTTATGTCATTAGAATGTTGACAGACAGACACTAATCGAGTCATTCTCTGGTGAAAAGTTTTATTTGATTGAAGTCATTGCCTTTATACTCCAGTACTTGAAGGACCAGTTGATAGATCATCATTCTCGCAGTGTCACACCATTGAAGACAACAGATTTTGATTGGGTCATTACTGTACCTGCTATATGGGATGCACGAGGAAAAAGAATGATGAGAGAAGCTGCTTATATGGTAAGTACTGAGTAGAATTTCATTATTCCGTTATTGTTGTTATAATAGGCTGGTTTGCTAACAGAATCTGGTGGTATCAGTGAGTTTACTCCTATATCAAGCAGCCCTTTACAAGTACCAGATGAAGTTAATCCTGAAAAGCTTTCACTAGCATTAGAGCCTGAAGCAGCAGCTCTTTATAGCCAGGAAACAGTAGCAGAGCAGATCAAACGCCAACCATTAGCAGCAGCTATCACTCATCCTACAGAGTATATGGTGATTGATGCTGGAGGCGGTACAATAGATATTACTGCTCATGTTGAAGTAGATGGAGGTATTGTAGTCCAGAATGTACCTAGTGGCAATGCATGGGGTGGTACACAAGTAAATGAAGAGTTCTCTAAACTACTTCAAGAAATTGTTGGTGATCCTGGCTTTAAAAAATTTATTGCATCAGGAGATAGCACCAAAAATCAGGCAGCATTGATTAAAATATTGTATGATGAATTTGAAGAGCAAAAGATATTTTTTGGTTATGGGAAAACAGAAGAAATGGCAATAGAAATTCCAAAGAAAACAGAAGAAATGGCAATAGAAATTCCAAAGAAAACAGAAGAAAAGGCAATAGAAATTCCAAAGAAAACAGAAGAAATTGGAATAGAAATTCCAAAAATCTTTGTCAAATATTATGAAAAGGCTCTTGTTGAAGGAGTAAAAAAGATGAATGGTGTAGATTACGATGAAGACATCAATGACACACTTTATATAGATAAAAGTGTCATAGAGTCTAAGCTGTTTGGTCCAGTGATCCAAGGCATTATCAGTTGTACATTGTCAGCTATTGAAAAAATCGACAATTGCCCCAGTACATTTTACCTTGTTGGTGCCTTTGGAGGATGCAAATATGTCCATGAACAGGTTAGTCCTGCTATAAAGAGGTACTATGAGTCTAAAGGTCACAAAGGCACATGTTCTGTGTTAGTACCTCCTACTCCTCAC